ACCAAAGATGTCACTGTAATTTTTTAAGTTAAATTGTGCATGGTTATGATTTGCATTGTTTTCTTACCAATGTTGTCACTGTAATTTTCTAAATCAAATTGTTGAAGGCTATGATTCGCATGATTTTCTTCAAAACATCATATATTCTTTAATAATTGAGATATTGACATCAATTAAAAAAAGATCTATTGAGAATAGTTGAATCTTAAAATAAATTTTCATCCGGAGACACATTACTCACTAATCCAATGTTTCCACAGGGTGTTCGGAATATTAGGGCAACCTTTTAGTTACGCCCGGTTTAACAACAAGCATTTTCAATTTTTTTTGATCGGCAGTTCATAATCATGACAATGCGATTACCTGCAGTTTGACGTAAAAATTAAAGAAATTGATGCAAATGTTGAAAAGTTACTTGAAATTTAATTTGAACAAAATTTTGTTTGTCTGGTTAATTTTGCCTGGCAGTGTATAATAAAAGAAATGGAAAAAAATTATAATTTTCAAAAAATAAGTATGTTATTACACAGGTGTTTTGATATTCTGGACCTCTGCCGTCTAAAATCTTTGCGTCTTCTTGTTTACTACTCTTATCATTTATCTAAATTTGGCAAACCTTTTGTGTTATTGTATGGTTCTCAGTAAGACTCTTTGGTTCGATCAGTCTCTTAATCGTGCGTATACTTTCTTTCATCTGATTATTATTTACCGAAAAAATGGCCTATGTTTGAGAAAACAATAAACTAGTGAACATTATACGGAGAGTGCCAACAAAATGCAGCCGCAGCATGCAGGTTGTATGCGGAAAGGTTTCCTTTAAGAAATCATCTGGCCTCATGGATGTTTGTAAATTTAGTCATTAGATTTCATGTCGCATAATAGTTTAAAAGAACAACGAGGAGGTCATGCTGGAAGACCTGCTCAATCTAAAATGTTGCAAATTGAGGAAGACATTTTAGAAATGGTCGAAGACGATCCAACAATGAGGACTAGCGCCATTGCAGTTCAAGTTTCTCATAGTGAAGTGTAGAAGACAATACGACAAGAACAGTATTATCCTTATCATTATCAACGGGTACAAGCGTTACAACCTGGAAATCATCCTAGAAGAGTCGCATTTTGCCAGTGACTTTTAGAGCAGTTGAAAATTTTGCGAAATTAATTTTATGTACAGACCAGGCCACATTTACATGAAATGGAGTGCACAATTTCCACCTTGTGATTTTTTTTCTGTGGGGCTATTTGAAAGAGTTGGTGTATCATGATGGAGCAGTAAATACTCTGGAGAAGAACTTTAACCGCGCACAGAAGATACTTGTGATTTAATTCGTGGACGCCAGGAATTTATTTTTGAAGCTTGTGAAGAGTCATAGGTTAGCCGAGCAAGATTTTGCGTTATTCGAACAAATGGGGATAATTTTAAATAGTTTTTCGTAAAAATGGTATCCACTTATTTTGACAATGATTTTTTTAAAATATTTTTCAATAATTTAAGCTAACTTATGCAACTTTTATATATATATACATGGTTCGTTTTGTCGTACCAAAAAACCCTTGTATACCAATTTTCACTGTTATACATTAAATATTGTTCGAAATATTTAAAAAAAAACTATTTTAGAAAGTAAATTTAAACACCCTGTATTTCGGAAGCTACGCATTTTTCGACCCATGTTTATATAGACTTTATGCATTAATTTTAAAGGTTCTATCGAATCTTAAAGTTATGCAACAATAAACTGAAACAGCCTGTATACAAGATCAGACAATTGAATTTTGCAGCATATATCTGATGCATGCACAGACTTAGCCTTCTATGGACTGCCATATATATTTACTTTTACGATGTCGGCTGTCACAATTTAGGAGTGAATGAATGTTATTATTGTGCTTTGCCAGCTAGAGTTACCCTACTATATCCTGCTTTCTCCGTACCACAATGGCACCCGACAAATAATAGTATCAGTATCGCGGTAAAGAAGTAAAATGCGTACTTATCACGGCGCGATTGTATTCTCTGGAAACAGAAGTTATACGCTTACAAAGCGTCTTAGAAAACTTGGGGTTAAATGTGGTTATTTTCTGATACTCAAAAAAGAGTTATTGATTTATCAAGGAATTACTATGACTTATATGTTTTAAGGACGCTTTTGTTGAATTATTGTGTTGCTGTAATCGTGACTCAGTTTTCATGAGGATTCTTGTATGCTCTATTCTCGGATCTCATAAATAAGTTTACTGTGCATTGTTACCTTGAAGTTACAATGCTGTATGTGAACTTTTTTCATAAGCACCTGACAAAAATGATGCTGTCAGCATCACAGTATAGAAATCGAATGCAGAGTGCAAGCAACAAATAAAGGACTCCTTGTCGTGACATTTGCACCGGGCTCTAACTTCCAGCTTTATATTGAAAACAGGGAAAATTGTATCTTTACAAGGTGTTACCCATAACTGATTACAAAGGGATACCCTAGAAGTATAGTTACTGGGCGACTGCTAAAAAAGTTATAAATGGTGTTCCATCTATCGCTTCTTTTTTCAACTACCATTTTTTGACATGTTAAATGTGTCAACTGCCATGTGTTTAGAACATATGAACTGTCAAAGGTCTGCCATTTTTTATTAGAATTCTTTAACAACGGATTGTCCAAAAATATTACGAAAAAGTACGATGTATTTTTCGCAAACTTCGTGATGAATTTGGTTGACATAATCGTCCCACAGAGCGTGGAATTCGGTGGATTATCAATCGTTTTGAGGAAACTGGCTCAGCTGAAGGTCGTAGAACATATCAACATGCCCGTCCGGTACGTACGTGAATCAGTGGCCGCTTTGAGTGAAGGTATTCATGAACAGCAATCAACTTCGATAAGACACCGTTCGCAAAAATTGGACATCAGGCCAACAACATTATGGAGGATTTTGCATGTTGATCTCCACCTACACCCATACAAGATCCAACTAACAATTGAAGCCAGCTGACCATCCGCAACGGCGTATTCTTGTTAATTGGATGCTTGAAAAGGAGAGGGATTTTCGGCTCAAATCATCTTTTCAGACGAGGCTCATTTTTACCTTATGGGCTGGTGCCATCATTGGACCGTTCTTTTTCGAGAAAGAAGAAAAAAAAGCCGTTACGGTCACCACAGAAAGTCATCGTGGTATGTTAACGGATTTTTTTGGCGGAATCCAGTTATTGGCCGAGAAATTTCCAGATCGCATTATTTCGAGAAATTCCGACGCTAATTGGCCTCCAAGATCATGCGACTTAACGCCACTGGACTATTTTCTCTGGGGATTTTTGAAAAGTAAAGACTGCCCCACGCACGATTCAAGACCTTAAGCGCAACATTCGCACCGAAATCGCGTCCGTGGACCCGCTAATACTGCAAAAAGTCATGGAACATTTTGATGTTCGGATGATCGACCTACAGTTTTCAATGAAGAGTTCGGTTTCTCGCTCATAAAAAATGTGTTATTTTTTTAGATTAAAAAAATAACGAACGGATGGAACACCCTATACTTAAACCATTCAGTTAACTGTGATTTGTCATGTTTCAGCATCTCAAAGTTACTTTGTTGCTTCTTGCAGTTGTTTTATGAACCAATGGCATTCGAAGAATCATGGTGTCGATACCGCCATGCAAAGGAAAAGTGGTCATTTATGGTCATAGTAAACAAGAACTCTTCGTCATGACATTTGGGCTCATGATTCGAGATGCTTCTAATCATCTACACGCAATGTGACTTTTCACTGGCTCCAATGTCGTAACATTCTGCCGAAAAGCCCCTTAGATGCATGAAACGTTAATAATCGTCATTAAAGAAAATTGCGGTCAAATAGGTTGACAGTGCACTTCCTCCGCAACGCCATCATCAGTTAATTAAGGATTAAGTTCTGCGCAACTGAAATCCTCTGAGAAAGAGGTCAGTTACAAGTATGTACAACAGAGAAACCGAACGGATTAAGTCGATTAAACAGGCCCATACAATTAGTCCATATACATTCTTTCCCTCCGCATTGCCAACATCAGTTCATAAAGGATTAAGCTCAGCACAATTGAAATGCTCTGAGAAAAAAGTCAATTACGAAGGTGTACAATAGAGAAACTGAACGGATTAAGTCACTCAAACAGGCCCAACAATTAGTCCAAAGACATTTTTTCCCTACGCTACCGGTAGTTAGTATCCTTTTGGCAACGTTGTCCCTTTCACATCTGGGCGGCATCACTGCAGCAAGTTGTTGATTTCATGCATAGATCGTGTATGCTCGTATATGCATATATTCTGTTTGTCCGGCTGTGAGCTCAAGCAGGAGTACCTACGCGGATCGAAAGCACTTACTTCTCTATAATCATGTGTTAAAGGCAAATGTTTTAGAAAATATATGATGTGCAAAATATATGTATACAAAGATCAAACAAAATATATAATTATCCTCAGCCCCTACAACTCACAACCTTCGAATTTCAACCCCTACAAAATACGAAGTTTGAGCGGTTTTTATTTATTTCCATTTTTTACCCCTCACTTCGCCGCCACTAAACCAATTACCCTACAGTTTTTTCGTCCTTTGCGTAGTAGTAACATTGTGTAAAACTTTCGTCTCATATTACAGAGAGGTCATAACTAGCGGACAAACAGACCGATGGAAACGAGTGACATGGTTTTTTATAGATGTACATGTGATATAACATCCAAAAAACATATCTCATTTCCGAAATTTTTTGACATTACAATACTTCAATGGCGAAGGAAGTAGAAACCACTACTGTGCTTCATGAGTATGTGTGTAGACCTCCTGCAATAGATTGTGACCCAGTTGGATCAAATATGCCTGGAGAAAATGTTCACGAATCACTTCTTATCGTTTGTTTTTAGTTCCCAAATGTTGGAATGCTATCGTCTTAGAATCAAACGGTATCTGGCACTTTTCTGACAACCCTATGACGCTCGGAGAATTATAATATTGGTATCACAGTATAGCAAACACATACTTATCCTGCAAGCCAGAGAGACTGTAATTCCAAGCTACCACAATACCTAATCCATATAAGTAAGTAATCTTCCAATGCTTCACCGCAATGCATCTGGTGGCAAAATCCTAAGAAAAAAGACAAAGCTTACAGCAATTCACCCACATAAGTTCAATAACGTCGCTAAGCAATTTTTCCATTTCGTACAGTAGAGAATTCCAGAGCATTATTTATAACGACGTACACTTATTGGAACACCGGCAACAAAATGGCTTGAAAATACCTTGGAAATTTAAACTGGAAGATGAATTAAAAAGCGCTTTATATCGACATTCTTTCGAACTAAACCAGTGGCGCTGGGTTACTGAATGATTGAGGTCTGAGGGTGTAAAACAGTTTGGTGGAATGGGCAGTTTTTTTAAAATCACGGTAACGTAGCTTGATTGGAAGGCGCGTTGTAACGAATCAACTGAATTGTGTGCTTGCTAGGTTATTGTCGCATTCTCTGGATAAAAATGCGGATGCATCTAGCTACTAGCAGCTCTTAGAAGTGTTTGCCATCGTAATCAATCTAACCTACTGAAATAACGATTTTGCATCTGGCACTAGTCGCTCCTTCTGTATATATATAATCAATTGGTTAGTTAGACTAAGGTTCGGTGTTTCTATCGCAAGTTAACTTTCTGGATAGTTAACTATAACCAGGAAGATAACTTGTAGTTGCCTGCAAACGCCTTTTTCAGGTATTTTGATAGCGCCAGTTAACTTACCAGAAGTTCATCATATATTTATGTTGCAATCCTGCGTCTGTGATTCTTAGACATCGTGTTCTGTGCGTTTTGTGCGCTCGGTGTATGTGTCTTGAGTTATGCCGTTATACGTGTCTTACATGACAGCGCATCTTTTTTTAATGAAATTTTATAAAATAGTCGAAAATTTGAATAAAACCTTCGTCAAGCAAGGTCAGGTTTTTCAATCATTACTTGTACAAATGCTTAGATTCTTTAGACGGGATTATGCAAATGATGATAAAGAAGGTAGCAAATGCAATGTCTAGTCAACCTTACACAGGTCAAAAAATACGCTAAAAATACAATTAGATTTCTAAATATCTATTAAATATTGTGTTTGTCAGCTTCTTTAGCATCACTGCGATAATCCAGCGGAAAAAAGTATGACTGAAAACCACTTTAGGGCATATTGCAAATTTGCCATTTCTGATTATAAAATAAAAGATTATAATTCTATTCCTGTTGCTAAAATTCATCTAAAACTGTTTCCTAGCATGAAGAAAGAAATCATCAAAAATAGCTCAAAATTTCTCAAATGATAGGGAGATGTTAGTATCATTGGACAGTAGAAACAAATATATATATAATAGAGAGAAACGCTAAGTCCTTTTCATAAGACCACACCTTGCAATGAAATCCAAGTCGTCGAAGTAATTCGAGCAATGGCCGACCATTTTTGTCCTTCTTGCCTCTTCGTTTCTGCTGTACGCAATCAAGCCGTAAACATGTTTCGGCTTTAATTTATATTTAAGGATAAATTGATATGAATTTGTGAATCTTTGTATAAACGCCAAAGTCTGTGTCAACAAACGCCAGGTATTGCTATTCAACCACGGCCTTTCCGGTTAACTCATAGATGGTGTTCTGGTTAAATTTAACTACCGTTTTACTACAAACATGATGCTTTTTCATAGATACTGTAGGTTAAAACCAAGATCGTCGTAGTGAAAAACCGAGCCTAAAAGCACAGGCCTGTTTTAAGGTTGAAACATTAACTTTATAGCTTGCATCCCGTTAATTTGAAAAATAGGTGCTGAATCCAGACCTCTGACTAGTAGACTGTAAATATAGGCAACTGGAAGAGGTTTAGTTTGCGTGGATAAAATCAAAAACTTGAGTATGCTATAAAATATCAGTCCAATATCTAAATTATCTGATTCAATGAGGACGATAGACCTAGGATCTAGCTGTTCAAGGAAACATATGGGATAAAAAAAAGTTCCCTTATTGAAACCTATAATTGTAACATGTGACGACAGTCACGGATAGGCTACCCTGCGGCGTGGTAGATGCCTAAGCTACTAACATCCGAAAATAGAAAAATTTCAGGAAATACAGAGCCAAGAGGTCCGGATCATACTGAAGAAATAAAATACAAATCGCCCCTGACCGGACTCCAAATATTTCCATTCGGAGCCTTTCCGCCTTGTTCGCCGGTTACAATATACTGTACAAAAATGGCGAACGCTTTATCATTTTGGCCCGGATAAAAGGAGCACCTCTCTATGTGGTGTTGTTCGCCTTCGACCTACCGCCATACCGCTTGTGCCCCAGAAAAAGAACATTATACACAGAATTCACTCCCCGACTGCGGGTTAAGATATTTATATAGGGCGGAAATAAAGTGTTCTCTGGCACTAAATCACCTCTGCCACAATTCTGCCTTCCAGAGCGAAATTGATTTTGAAATTGTGAGTATAGTGTGGCCGAATCGAGCCAAGGAATGCAAACTGACTTCCAACACCATGGTCGCACCGACTGTATACTGCAGTAGGTGAGCTGTGACATGACTAAATACTCGCACAACATTCTCTTGACTTTAAAATCAAGCAGCTGTGTGCTTGCATACAACAATCTAAGAAGTGGATAGGCAGCAGATGTGTCCGCAGTGGTAGACGCTTCGTCTCCTGTTCAGTCGCCGTGCGCTGCGAGGGTTCAAATCCCGTCCCAAGAGACATTTTCTCCTGGCTATGGATGTTGTGATTATCCGTAGGTGGTAGACGGTCTCTGACTGTCGTACGAGGAGGTACCACCCGGCGGATCTAGTAGGCGGGGCCAGAGGCCACAATGTGTGCAAGCTGCATGCACACGTGTTCCCTCGCTAGAGTCCGCATGGCGTCCCCCTTTTCCCTGTATCCTCCTATAGCCCCACGGTACCCCATGGGTATTTAGGCCTAAGGCCTTGGTGTTAGCTGGAGTGGTCATTACAAAAATATAAATATTGTGGTAAATAATAACGAAATAATAATTGAAAGAAACAAATTTAGCTTCTAATGAATATTAGTATTCAATAGATCTTCAGAAAAGTGTCTATTTTCTTCCTTCAAATAAGGAATCATTGCCAGCAGATCTTGTTGTTTCCTTCAGAAATTTGGTAGGTCAGGTTTAAAAGAGTCATTTTTGCGATAGTTTCAATAGCAACATTTTTCTTCAAAATCTTCGATGATTCCAAGGCTCTATTTATTGGCCCTTAGCACAGTTTTTACCGGCGGCGTTATGACTATTGACAAGCGCGCAGTCTGTTGTTTTGTTAGTTATGGCACCTAGAACAAGTCTAAAATAAAAAACCGATTTATTTACTTCAAGTCTTCAGCTTAATAACTCATGCAACAGAGCATTTCTAGGCGAACCCACGACTAATATTCGCCGGCAGCGGGGGTAACTGAATCAGTCGCCCAGCACGAGGTGGAAAAAATGAAATTCATCGAAATTTAGTCTGGGTCTCTACATGATAAAATCTGTGACCTGTAGGGTCGATTGAGGCCTAGCAAGGGTGCAAACACATAGCTGTCACCATTTGTCAGATCAAAAGAGAATTTTTAGTTTGTAATTCAACTAAATGTCAACCAGCAAATATTGGAGAAAACTACCCTCATGCATTCCAAAGCCCATTTAATGTTATTCTTTGCAATGTATGTGAAATAGGGAAGGGAAACTCCATTTCTATATAAGCACAGGAAAAGCATATTTATGGCGGTTCATTACCCGAAGAAACCGAAATGCGGGCGCAGCGGCACCGCCCAATTAAAAAAGATGAAATATGTTCATAATCTGCTCAGAAATGGACTTTTTTAGCGCGTTATATTTTAAAGAGACGCTGGATAATGCCGCTGTTTCAATTTGCTGCGCATTACGGCTTTTTCCCTCGAGATAAAATACTACTTACTAGGTTCACGGTGCACGGTTTACGAGGCGGCATTATGTGCATTTAATAACACTAACGAGTCATCAGGTATATTTCAAAGTTAATAATACAATTGTCATTCTACTTAAAAGGGCTACGGCGGTGGCCGAAACCTTGTATAATAAACAGAAATTAAAACATATATGTGGTTTCATGCGACCTGACAATTAAGTCCTATTAGTATTACTGGTTTCATCCGCGCGGACCAGCTGTGTACAGCTGTTTTAATGCTTGTTGGCAATCATCATCACGGTCTAGGCAAAAGCAGTCTCTATCCCAAAGTACATCGTTAACAGGGTAAAATTAAAAATAGCAAACTGTTAATGAAAACGATCATTTGTAACTAAATGACTTGCCACCATGATATCCAGGTTCAGAGGCCTTGAGAAAAATGGGGGAACATGTCAATACATGGGAAGCTCCAAGTAAACCCTGATATACTGAGCCAATTCATTGCCTAAAAGGTGAAGTATTGCTAAAGATATTTGGTGGTTTGATTTTTGAACAACCTAATGTGGTCTGCTGTACCAGCTACTTCTCCACAATTGCAGAAACTAAGTTTCTGAAACACTTCCTAGCAAGCTGCATGACACAACATATTGCTATGAACTCAGTGTTATTTGAAGAAATAACGGAAGATAAAGTTGAGGAAATTGTTGGTCAATTGCCAAACAACAAGAACGCGAGTTATTTAATGTGTGAATATATATATATATAGGGTGGTCCATAAGTCCTTTGAAATTTCAAATTTGAATAAAATTTAACGGGTGAGCGTGAGCGGCGCGGGCGAGGTGGGGGCAGTATCTTCAGTGTCTGGGAATTCAGTCGCCATGGAGTGTTTCACTGGAGCGGATCGTGCTTTTTGTGTGCGCGCGTTTTATCAAAATAATGATTCGGCAACCATTGCGCGGCGTAAATATCGAGAATACCACAATTTACACAATTTTACAAAGTGTCAACATTGTGGCACAGTCTGTTCGTCAAAATCCTACCTAGTCTACTCGTAAGCGTTCCAGTGCACTAAACGTACCCAGAACATCTTTACAGCGGATTTTAAGGAAATATTTACGTCTGCACGCTTACAAAATTCCGTTAGTGCAGGAATTAAAAGATAATGACGCTATTCAGAGACTAAACTTTGCGAATGAAATGTTGAATCGATTTTCTTCGCTCAATAATGTGTTGTTCTCGGACGAGGCTCACTTCCATTTAAACGGGCATGTAAATAAACAAAATTGCCGTTATTGGAGCC